ATACTGTTTTAACTTCCCACCAGTATCATAGGATATTATTAGTGAAGAGGTATTGAGCAAATCAAGGGCTTGTGTTTGCACTGTAGGTATCAGGTGAAACTTGATTTCATTTAAATGAAATGAATTGTTCACCAGTGCTGTTGATAACAAAGGCAGAATGCAGAAGCAGGTGGAGGGGGGCGCAGTTATCAGCAGCTAGATATACTTTCTTTTAACAGAGAACAACGTAACTATTGTGGACTTTTACTATATAGTGTGTTGGAAACTGTATTTCTAAAAAGTCTGTAAATTTTTTTTTTACATTTTAATATGGAGAAATTAAGGGAGAATTTTTTTTTTTGCAAGTATTTGAGGTATTTTTGAGATTGTAATAATGCCAAAATCTTATATTTTACTTGTTTTAAAAGAATGAAGAAATGCTACACTAAACAACTGAATATATTGTAAAGAATATATTTAGGAAATAGATTGTTGTTCATTGTGGCACTGTAGCTATAAAATTGATTTTTTGCCAGTAATTTCATTTGGCTGTTGTGGAAACCATGGTGCCTTAAGCTGCTTGTCTGTATAAAACTTCTCTGTATCTGCTAATGAATTCTTTTGTAAAGTTCAATTAACTGTCTGGTTGTGGAACCACTGTGCTATCAATAGAGAACAGTGGTAAAGGAAAAAACTTGAAAAACTGTTAAGTTTGCTCTCAAATCTTAGCTGAGGTGTGATGTATGGATACACTGAACTAATAAACTGCTCTGTGTGTTTGTCTTCAGATTAGAGAAAATGTTATATTCAGTTGGCTGAGTGTACCTGTCCACATTATTTAAAAGAATGTTCTGTATTAACTGCTAAAGCTCAGTTCATAATTCCTAGCTCAGTTGAAACTTTATGAAGGGTTTTATTTTTGTATTCTGTACAAATAACTGTTTATTTCAGTTGATGTTGCTGCTGCACTGTAAAATTAATAAAGGAGCTATAACTGACAAAGCTATCTTTCTTGTCACAGGTTTCCTTTCCTTTTCCATGCCTAGCAAAGTTAGCTGTCTCAGCTTTGTTTAAGACTTTGTGGGGGTGGCTGCCAAAAAAGCTAGGCTGACAGAATAGTGAGGTGTTGTCCAACCATTCTCGTATGTCTGAAAACCAGCCCTGCTCTGGGGGCTTCTGTGCTTTACTCAGGACTTTCTGGGAGCTACAGCCTTTAGAATTCACAGCCTGAAACCCATGAATCAATTTGTCTGTATACTTTCTTTCAAAACTTTTTAAAACTGCTTATTTCTTTTGGGATTCAGATTGAAGAAGTTGCATTCTTATCCTCTGTTCTGCTTCATCTGGGTCAGGGCAAATATATATGTATTGTTGCTGAAGGAGAGTCAAACCTGCGTCTTAAAACACACTATTCTGGCTCTGGTCTTTTTTTGCAAAAAAGTTCCTCTCATACTTTTCACTCAGGAACTGTTTATATGTAGACCTTTTATATAACCTCTGCCTAGCATCATTGAAGCTGTGTCAGGAAAGAATGTAATATTGTGGTGGCATATGTTGTAAGGGTTGCTTTTTTGCATATTTATTAATTTTTTTTTTTGTTGCATGCGGTGGACTCTTCGGTATAGGCTGGTATTTGTCAGAAATCAGGTTTTTAACAACCGTGTGCCCAGACTTGAGATAGGGGTTATAAAGAAATCCTCAAGCACCTGTGCTGCTCAGGGCTTTTCTTCAACACTCAGCACTATAATTTCCAAGCATCTAGATTTTCTACTGAGTTTTCTTCTGGAATTAAAATGAAATAAAAAATCAGCCTTCAGATGACTTTTTTTAATTAATATACCTTATGTACATCTGTAACTCTTTTTAGACACATGCTTGTATTTTCTGAAGGGAGAAAAAAGGTGTGGGGAAAAAAACCAAAACCCAAACCTAATAAGCGGAAGGCTGTACCTGCTAGTGTGATGGTTGGAAAACTTACGTTATCTACTCTTCTAGAGGAACATTTGGGTAGATTTGTGGCCTGTTTTGTTTTTTAAATGGTCTGAAGCTTTAAAAACATTATTAACAATGGCAGTTACTATCTAAGTAAGAGCATAACTGAAGGTAACAATGAAAGTAGGAACATATGGAACCTATTTGTAAAGAGAGCAGAAGTTACATGTGCATATGATGTCTACTATTAATTTTGGATCTTAATAGCCATAAATTTATCTAGTTCCTTGCAAATGTATATGTCCAGTCATCTGTTGTTTGATTACAGAATTGATTATGTATCTGTGTTCTTGAAAAGGTACTGCTGCTATTAAGATATTTTGTATTAAATTGATTCAACACTTGAAATGACTTTTAAACCCTAATTCCTAATTCTGGTGTCTTTGGGGCATTGCCAATTACCTACTAGGTAGAAACAAAAAGAGTGGGGAAAAACAGTCTGTGTATTTGGAAGTCCTTTTGAACCCTCAGAACATCTGTTTGCTCCTCATCAGGTTGCATGCTTGACTATTCCTTAGAATTCAGGCTTGAAACCACACTTGTGTGGTGTTTTTTTTTTAGGTTGAGGGTAGATGCAAAATCTATGGTTAACACAACTCTACTCTGCTGAAACAAATGTACCCACCTCTCCCTGCCTTCCTCATATATATCACGCAAATACGTATTTTTCTTGAATTACCTGTCATTTGTAATGAGAAAACCAAATGTCTCAAAACACATTTGAAATGCTTCTGTGGTAACTTGCATAATTGAGTTTTTAATATTTTCATTGCTCTCTTTGGTTTGCAAGTCCAGTCTGTGTCCTTGGCCAGAAGTCGTGTAATGGCCGTACAAGACCTGGAGGCAATCGCATGGTGTACTGCAAAATGTAGTCTTATTTAGGGACTAACCTATGTGGGAAGAAAACTTGGGCCTGAAGGTACTTAGATTGTAACACTTGCAGTGTGCTTTCAGTTCCTTTCTAGCAGAAATTCAGAAAAGGGTCATGGAGAGGAAAACTTTTCCTATATGCGTACATCTATTCCATTGGAAAGAAAAGGGATAAAGAGCACTGGTAGCCTACTCTTCCCCTTGAAATCAAATTACTGTATTACATGGGAGTTGAGTGGATGGTGAAACTGTGCAGGAGATGTGAATTCACAAAATTATTTTGAAACAGCATTGTTAATGAGAGAATAATGAGAGATGATTGCCTAGGAGGAAAAAAAAAAGATTCAAGTAGCTAA